AAAAGGCGGTGTTAGTGCTGTTCGCAGTGGGGTCTTCAGGGTTAAACTGAGGGTATTGGAGAGAAGGTGGAACCATGACAGTGAGGACAGGGAAATGAGATGCAGTAGGGTAGGAACGCCAGAGTCGGGTTTAGGTCTTGGACGGTTTCTAGTAGGTAGCGCTCATAGAATCAAATAGAATAGGTGGCTTGGATAACAGGTGTACTAGGCGTGTTTCATGTAAATGGAAATCATCAAAGGAGTCAGGGAATAGAGGAGAGGTTTTGTGAAAATTTGAGACTGCATCTTTAAGGATAGTATACAAGTGGGATTTTGAGATAAATAAACCTTGATGTTGGCAGTTGTGAGTAAAGGAGTCTTAATTTCTTTGTGGAAATCTAATTTTATTTGTATTTAACTGTAATCTACTATTCTAGTTCTCAAATTCTCAAGCTTAAGGTTTTCTCATTCTCTGTTGAAGAGTAGTTGAAGTGACATTATTAAGGAAAGCACCTTTTTCATCTTCTAGAGGTGGGTTCTTAATGCAGTACTGGGGAAGCTGTTTACTGAGCATCTAGTAACTACTTAAGATCTATTCTACTCTCAAGACCTTGACAGTATAGAAATTGGTGGTAAGGTTAATAAAACTGACTTTGAAAAGGTAAACCAAATGAAAAAGTGGTTGAACAGTTAATTAAAACACATTTAAGGATGGCAGGAGAGGCGATGTGTCATAGCTACGGCATATGGAGCTCATATGGATACAGTGTGACCCAGGGCAAACACGTCTATAGGAAGCATTTGCAGTTGGAAGAGTGTGGGCACAGAGTTTGAGTTGGAGGCTGATCTTAAGACACTGTAACATATCAGGGTGAGGGAGAGTTTCCTGGATATTTTGGACCTGGAGGCAGTCACAGCCTTTAGAGTAGGGTCTTCTGATTTGGACAGCTGAGTGTGATTACAGGTGAGGCAGGTAAGGGGACCCAGGATGCATGCACTAGAAGCCTGAGCCTCTACAATTGTCCTACAGGTTTGAGGTTAACCTCTTTGGATGACAGTTGCGATATCAGGGTCAGTGAGGTAACTGACCACTGCACAGTGGCACAGTAAACCATTCCATTGGGGGGAGCAAAGAGGAATGTAGAGGGGTGGGGGACAGTATAGTGAAGGGGACTGACAGTTTTCTCTGCAGCAAAGAACAAGAGTCCAGAACGCTGTATTGCATGCCAGATGTCAGTATTCAGGACATCTGCTGAGGAACTTACATTTGGAGGGACTGAATCAAGTCATTGTGGTCCATGTAAATAGCAATAACATAGGCAGGCAAAAGGAGGCAGTTTTGCCTAATCAGTATCAGGAGCTAGAAACCAAGTTAAGAAACAGAACCTCAAAGGTTATAATCTCTGAATTATTACCTGAGCCACATGCAAATTAGTATGTGGCAAATAACATAAGACAAACAAACGCATTGGTCAAAGACAGGTGGAGGATAGGTGGGGTTTCAGTTCCTGGCGCACTGGCACTAGTAGTGAGGAAAGTGGGATCTGTTCTTTTGAGATAGTGTACACCTGAATTGTGCTGGGACTGGTCTTCTATGCAGCTGCGAAACTATGGAAGTAGAGAAGACTTTACACTGAACAGTCAGGGAAAGGGATCAAATTTCTGAAGATGCATAAATGAGTAGAGTCAAGAAATGTATGATGGAAAATGATAAGCAGATTGTGGCATAAAAGAGGAGTTTATATAATGTTTCTGCGATTGTTTTTCAGAGCAGCACAGCCTACATCCAACCTGAAACTTCAAGCTAGATATCATACTATGATTCAATTTACTAGGGAAGAAAGGGTCCAAGATTAATATTTTAAACTTAAATAAGGGTGTTTAAGAGATCATGAAAGCAGAAGTGAACTGCCACATTAAGTTAAGGAGAAGGTCAACATAGATGTAATGGCAGACATCTAACGGAATATTTAAGAATACTCAGAACAGATACATTTCAACAAAAAAGGAACATTTTAAGGGGTGGACCCATCATCAACGATTCACTTCAAAATTTAAAGGTAGTATCGGCAAGCATATAACTGAAAAGATAGTGACAGATTAGAAGATGAAACAGAATATAGAAAAGCACCAAAGAATGGGTAAAATATTAATATGAAGGGAACAGTTTCTGAGGGAGAGAAAGTTAGCCAGAAATCTAAAAACAGTAGTTTCTATGAATGTTTTTTAAAAGAAGAGCTACCACAGTATTGGTCCGATACAAAGTGAGTCTGAGGAATTAGTAATAGAAATGAGATGACAAATGCATTGAGCAGGTATTTTGCACTGATTACTGAGGCCACAAGAAACATTCCAGAAATAGCTGTAAATCAGGAAATGGAAGGGAGGGAGGACCTCAAGAAAGGTATATTTCCAGAGAAGTGGCATTGAGTTAAATTGTTGGAGCTGCACGCTGACAGCGCACCCAAACCCCACCCCGACACCCAACCTACCTACACCACCGCACCTCCCCCCCTGCCCCCACCCGCCCCCGCCCAGGTTGTGATGGATTTCAACCTAGGATCTTAAACAAAGTGGCTAGTAAAATAGGTGATGCATTGATTCAAATTTTCTAAACTTCCCCAGATTTTGCACAGGTTGCATCAGATGGAAAGGTAGCAAATACAACTCCTTTATTCAACAAGGGAGGGAAACAGAAAGCAAAAATGTCAGACCAGATAGATTAACATGTGACTTAGAGAGAATGTTAAGGATGCAATTATTAAGGACCTTATCGCAGGGCGTGCGGAAAAATTCAGTGTAATCAGGAAGAGTCGAGGTGGTTTTGTGTGAAAAAGAAATCATGTTTGACCAAAATATTGCAGTTTTTTGAGGAGGTAACATATGTTGTGGATAAAGGAGAATCGTGAGAATTACTGTGCTTAGATTTCCAGAAGGCATTTGATAAGATGTCATGTCAAAGGTTACTATGGAAAATAAAAGCTCATAATGTAACATATTGGCAAGAACAAAAGATTGGCTATCTAAGATGAGAGAGAGAGAGTAGGTATAAATGTGTCGTTTTCTGGTTGCCAAAACGTAATAAGTGTTGTGTAACAGGGGTCAGTGCTGGGAATTCAACTCTTTGCAATTTGTATAAAAGAAGGGATCAAAGGTATGGTTTATAAATTTGCTGATTACACAAGATAGGTAGTGATGTAAATTGTGAAGAAGACATGAGTCTACAAAGTGGAATATATATAGACTTAAATAAGTGGGCAAAGATCTGCCAAATGAAGTGCAATGTGGGAAAGTGTGAAATTGTCCATTTTGGCAGGAAAACCAAGATGAAGCATGTTGACGAAGGTAGATTTTTTAACACCTGCAACCGCAGTTAACTGCAAATGCACACTAATCCAGAACTGGATCCAAACACAATATGTTATCATGTAAAATTTACATGTGATGTCATTCTGAAAGGGTGCATTGCGCATGTGCAGAGAAATGCACATGCTTTTGATATGGGGTTCAGCAGTAAGGAGAGAGGATGTGGGATGGAAGGGAGAGAGGACATGGGTTCCAACAACCCGAGACTGCACTGCCCCACACTCCCACCTCTTGCAGGCCCCCACCTTGTCCTTGCTCCCCCTCACCTCTGGACCCCATCTCCCCCCATCCCTTCCAGGTCCTGGACAACTCTGTCTGTACCCTAACTTCCGGGTCCTGGGCTGTGGTCCCCTCACCCTGGGTCGCAGGCGTGTCTCCCGAAACTGCTTAAAAGTGCATACGCAATTTAAAGCGGCACATAGCACACATGTGCTGGTGTCAGCAAACACAGTCACTGTCTAAGTGGTGAGAGATTGCAGAGTCCTGAGATGCAGACTGATCAGGATGTCCTCGTGCACGAATTGCAAAAGGTTAGTATGCAGCTACAGCATCTAATTAGGAAAGCTAATCGAATGTTATCATTATTGCAAAGGGAAATGCATACTAAAGTGTGTAGTTAATGGCTCAGTTCTACAGGGCAGTGGTGAGACCACATATGTAATAATGAGTGCAGTATTGATCTTCTTCTTTAGGGAAGAAAGTAGATACATTGGAACAAATTCAGAAAAGGTTTACTAGACTGATTTCTGTATTGGTGTATTGTCATATGAGGAAGGGTTTGACAGGCTAGAAAAGTAAGAAGCTACTGGTTGAAACACTGAAGATCTTGAGGGGCATTTTGTGCCTAGATATGAAAAGGATGTTCCCTCTAGTGGGAGAATCTGGAACTGGTGGCCTATTTTAAAATTAAAGTCGTGTCTGTTCAAGGTGAAGTTGAGATGACATCTCTTTCTCTCAGAGTGTCGTAAGCCATTTGAACCCTCTTCCTGAAAGGTGGTGGAAGCACAGTCTTTCAGTTTTTTTAGGCAGAGGTGGATAGATTTTTGGTACTTAACCTGGAAAGGCTTTGGGTGTAAGCAAGAATGTGGAATTGGTGTTACGATTAATCAGCCGTGATCTTATCAGCAAGCTAAAGGGCAATCAGCCTACTTCTGCTCCATCCATACGTTTGTATGTGAGGGGAACAGAAAAACTTGAGGTGTTTGAGCCAAAAAAAATGACAGTCTGCTTAGGAATTGGCAATAAATGGTCTAACAATGCTGGGACAGTTTGGGTGGGATAGTTGATGGAATGTGTAGTAAGAGGATTCAGTGGGGATGGAATAATACCACTGAAGTGCCAATAGACAATAAGTTCACAATAGATAGCAACAGACTTGATGATGAGGGTGCAGACCTTTTGGAAGCAGAGAGTAGACACCAAAAATGTAAAATGCGCTAGGCCCGAAACGTCAGCTTTCCTGCTCCTCTGATGCTGCTTGGCCTGCTGCGTTCATCCAGCTCTACACCGTGTTATCTTTGCACTAAATGGAAGGTGGTTTTGGACTGAATAAACAATTCCTGTTATGGTCCCTGAATCAGCAGTTCTTTAATATTTATAACGTTGCATTTTATATGTATATCTATATCAATATATCTATATATTTTACATTGCAGATGACTTAGAGGAACGACAAATGGACTCACATTTTCTGTCTACCATGATCCTGAAGCATCTGGCACAGGAGAGAATAGAATATTCTGTACCAGAACAAACCACTTGGAATGAAATTTTAAGTGAAGACCAATTAATGATCAGCAAAAGTGATGATCCACTGCCTTTAAAAAGTATAAATCATTAAGTGGTGTAACTTTATACATATATTTTACTGTAATTTTCTCTAGTGTTTTATCTCAAGATTGTATTGTACTTTTCGGTGTTGACACAATGTTAGTTGCCTATGTTAGAATTAAAAGTTGTCCATATTCCTTTTGAGACTGAAATGGAATATCAAATTTAAGTGACAAATACCAACCAAGTTTCTGCACAACTCTCAGGAGCTCTTATCCTACCTACTATGTAGGAGGTACTATCTAAAATAAGAATGCTTTATTAGGTTTTTAAAAATATTAACAGAATTGCACAAGGTTGGTAAATGGCTGGCAATATTTTTTGTTTAAATGATAAACTTCATGTATGAAGCTATCATAATTATGCAAGCCAATTGAGCATCAAAATTAAATATATTTCCCAATTTACTACACTATTTAGGGTATAGTTTGTTTTGCTTGCTATCTACTTTTAATATCTTCCAAAATAAAGGTCGCAAATAAGATTATTACTACTAAGCAGGAAATTCAGCTAAACCTCTTTATCCAGTTTAGAATGTAGAAGTTTGCTGTCAGATGCTGTTGTTGAGGTAAATATTAAATACATTTAATGGAAATTTATGTAACTGCATGTCAGAAAAAGAAGTTTATGCTTATTTGGGAAAATGAAACAGAATGCAAGGTGAATTGTGGAGGGGAACGTAAACAGCAGATGGATCAGTGGGGCTGAATGGCTTATTTCTGGTGTGTAATTTTAGCAACGTCAGTGCTGGATGCTGCAAGGTTTTCTTCCATTTTCCACCTTACTTTCAGTAACTAGCCTGCAAGGTTTTTCCTCACACATATTGTATTTAGTTTCCTTCATACTCTCAACAATGCTCTTTTCCTTCAATTTCAGAGAAGCACTGATATCACGTTACCATGTTCCAAACCAACTACCTGAGCCTTACTAAGACTAATAACTTACTATCACCTATAACTGAATCGTGGGTAATTAAAGACAATAGTTTTTCATTTAAACATTCTTCTGACCTGTTGTACACAGGAATTGTTCCAAGCACCACAGCACTGATCATTGTTTATTATTTATTTTCTGATTGTGCTGCTGGCAAGGTGTAATTCCTAGAGAATTAATGCATCTCTTGAGCAATATGATTTTTTTCCCTGATTGTTGGAGAAAAGCAAAACTCTGCAAGTTATAGCTAAATTAATATAATGTCAAATATTAAGTTGCTTGTAGTTTTTAATCAATAATCTTAAATAATCAAACCAATTTAGTTATAAACGATAACCTTAAACAATCATTACTGTCTATTCGTATCAGGACGTTATATTGCTTTACAATACTGCAGTATTTTTATGTGTAGATTTGTGGGAATGAACTAAACTATAATTGTAAATGAAGGGTAAATAATCAGAGTAGAAACTATTGGGACTATGAAGAATTAAATTACGAGTTCTTAATGTATTTATATAACTTTTGTTACTGGACTATGTGCTTTGCCCTAAAGCTAAAATCTGGAGGTTTTAATATTATAATGTAATAAATCTAGGTGTTTTGAAATGTTTGAACTATCACCCTTTCAATTTTACAAACAAATTTGTGTAAAGACGGTTGTCCCCTTTTGCAATATTCTGAGAAACCAGTCCTTAGGGACGACTTTTGCCATAAGCTTTGGGAATCTATTGTTGAATAACTTCCAAGTCGTGAACCCACGCAAGGTGGCAGCACTGTTTCAGACAGAATTTGATGCAGAGTGGCCAATTAGAAGTCAGCTCAATGCCATGTAATTAGGAATGGTGGGCTGGTTCAGGCAGAGGAAGCTGCAGTCAGCTCATCCCACTCCAGAGGAAACCTGCAGCCCTCACTATGACTGGTGCGAGTGTTGCTGAGGCTCATGTGTTCTGACAATTTAGAGACATCCATCACCAGGCTTTCAACACTCAAAGCAAGGCTGTGAATAAAGACAGCTGCTTTGCAGTTTGCTGCTGGAAACATTTAGATCTCTTTCAGCTGGATCTGCCAGTGTAATGCTGCCTACTCTCACTCATCAGGGAACCAAACAGAGGAGGGAGCTTCATGTTGCTAAGCTTGTGATAAGTTCTGTTAAGTATTTCCTTAATTAGCTTGATTGCATTGCTAGCAGTGCAGGTGAGATGACAGTACCCCTGGAATAGGTGTGAGTAGGCAGGAGAGCATGTTGAATCACCACCCCGATGCTTTGTAACAGAATTTTGACATTCCCAAGCCTCTGAAGCTGCTTCTACAGGGCTGACAAATCTGCCTTATTTGTTCTTATTGAATATAATATGTTGCTCGGGTCTTCAAACCAAAAGTCTCTTTGCAATTGGGTTTCAGGGTATTTGGTTGTTTTTCCTATACCATATTGACAATAAAGGAACTGGATCAAGAATTACTAGTGATGTTCTCATATTATAGACATACACTGACATGCAGCAGATGCTGTCTAAAGGCCAACGAGTTACAGTTAAGTCATTCACTTCCTGGAAATGTTGATTGTGCTGAAATAACTTAAGTGACTATGTAAGCTTTGACAATAACACTGTTTTCAGAATTTTTGACAAAAACATTTTTATCTTAAAGACTACAACATTTAGGTTGAAAAATGAATTCATTGCCAAAGTCATTAAGACCTATGAGCCGGATGATGGTTTCCAATTGTTCCTTAAAACTAAAGAGAAATGTTGCTCATTGTGTGATAATAATGAGGTCCAGACAAATCACAATGATGTATCTGGTCACATAACTTTGACATCATTAAGAGAGAAGATACAATTCTGAATGACCATGTGAAGAGAGAGGTCTTACAACACGAGAGAGTTCTATTGCCTAACCCACCACACACATGTCAATAAAAGTGTTACAGTACATAAACAGCTAAAGAGCTTTGCTATGCAATAAGAAGCAAGCAGCTTTAGGGACATTGTTTGTGCAATTATTCATAGCCTGAGATACTCCAGACCAGTACCTCGATGTACAGGTGGTAGTATTCACATAAAGTGCAAGATAAAACATGGTGGCAGTTGGGGAAGAAACCTCCAGAGCCAGGAGCTGAAACAGACTTCAAGAGATACAGAAGAAAAGGGAATACTCCAAAGACAGGACAGGACCTCAGAAGACTTAAAACATGCAACAGAGTAAAAAGCAGGAAGTGCTTGAACACAAGACAAGACCCCTGAAGACCTTGGGAAAAATGAAATTATACAAACGCCTGAAAACCTTTTAACCCCTTAACAAGAATCTATCTACCACTGCTTTAAACATTTTCAAGGACTCTGCATTCATCAGTTCTTCAGGAACAGAGTTCCAAAGACTCATTATTATCAGAGAAGAAATTTTGATAAATTTCTGTTTTAAATGGGTGATCCCTGATTTTTAAACAGTAGACTGTAATTCTAGATTATTCCATAAAAGGAGACATTCTTTTCACATTTACCCTGGTCTAGACCTCTCAAGGTTTTCTGTGTTTCAATCAAGTCACCTCTTACTTTTCTAAACTCTAGCAGATACAAGCCTAACCTGTTCAACCCTTCTTCGTAAGGCAGTTTCCTGCATAAGTCTAGTAAACCTTCTTAGAATGCCTCCAACACATTTAGATCCTTCTTTAAATAAAGTGACCAATACTGCGCACAGTGCATCAGACACAGTCTCACCAGTGCTCTGTGTTACTGAAGCATAATCTTGCTGCTTTTGAATTGAATTGCCCTCACAATAAATAACCTTTTCTGAGCTTTCCTCATCACATCCTGTGCCTGCATAGTAACCATTTGTGATTTATGTATGAGAACACCCAGATCCCTCTGTATCTCAGATTTTCAATCTGTCACCATTTAGATAATATGCTTCCTTTTCCTTCTTGTTGCTGAAATGACCAACTGCACATTTTCCCACATTAAACTCACTTTGCCACATCTTTGCCCATTCACTCAATACCTTTTTTGTAATCGTGTTCTCTTCACAACTTACTTTTCTACCTATTTTTGTGTCGTCAGCAAATTTTGCTGGAAAGTATACCCTCTGTCTCTTCATCTAAATCATTCATTATAAATTACAAACATTTGAGGTTCCAGCATCAATCCCTCTGGTGCATCACTTGTTTTGCCTTGTCAATTGAAGAACCATTTGCACCTACCGGCTGCTTCCTGTTAGCCAGCAATCTTCTATTCATGCCAATATGCGACAACATAAGCTTTTATTTTCCACAATAACCTTTGATGCTGTACCTTATCAAATGCATTCTGAAAATCTAACCAGAGTGAATCCACCCATTCCCCTTTATCCACAGATAGTTTTACTTCCTCAAAGTACTCCAATAGATTGATTATCTTCAAAAAACCTTGCCTCTGCCTGATTACCTTTAACTTATCCAAGTGCCCTGCCAAAATGTCTTTATGAATAGTTTCTCATATTTTCCTTAAAGAAGATGCTAACTTAATTGGCCTGTAGTCCCTTTCCTTCTGTTTCCCTTTTTATATAAAGGACATATTGCCACCTTCCAATCTAAGGGGAACATGCCTGAATCAAGGAGTTCGGGAAAATTAAGATCTATTATCTCACTTGCCACTTTGAAGACGCTAGGATGTAATCTATCAGGACCCAGGCATACTTGACAGTACCATTTCTCTGGTGATTGTGATTTTCTTGAGTTCTTCACTCCCTTCCATTTCCTGACTTGCTCCTGCTTCTCGGACATTACTTATATTGTCTACAGTGAGGATTGATGCAATATACTCGTTAAATTTATTAGCCATTTCCTTATTTTCTATTATTAATTCTCCACTCAGTCATTCAACCTAATTGATTTTTACTTTGTTAACTCTTCTTCTTTAAATGTTTGTAGAAACCCTTAGTTTCTGTTTCAATATTTCTGACTAGTTTTTGTCATGTTCTATGTTCTATACTCTAACATTCTCTTTTTACTAGTTTTTTTGGGAACACTTTGTTGTCTTTTCCCATCTGTCTAATCTTCTGACTTATTGTTTGTATTAGTACAGTTATTTCTTTTTCTTTACGTTTTGTACTATATTTATAATATTTCTAGTTAATCACAGGTGCAGGGTTCATACCTTGGAATTTTTCTTAATCACAGCCTGAGATCTTCCAGACCAGTATCACAATGTGAAGGTGGCAGTATTTTATCTGAAGCTCAAAATAAAGCAGTTGTGATAGGGTTGTAACTGGAGCACCATGACAAAATGGATTGGCATTTTAGCTAGTTTTCCATTCTTGTAGAAGAAACATCTCAAATTACTGCAGCTGCATCCCAGCTTTGTACAGAATTAAGAAAATCTGCCAAGCAATATTGAATATTCTCCCAATATGAACATGATACTTTTTACAAATAGGATTAAACACAGAAATAATCACACTTGCAGACCAGAATTAGAAATCTGAAAAACGCTGACAATCCAGCAAAAATAACAACAGGCTGAAACTTGAATTTTTCCAACTGACTTCAGTCTTTTTAGGTATTTCACTGCACAGCCTAGCGAGTTTTCACCAAACCTGCCTCATTAACTGTCTTCCCCCGCCCTATGATATTCCTCTTGTGTGATTCTGGCCTGATTTTACTATGCATGGTCCCGCAATCAGAACTTAGGTGTCTAGGTAGAAAATTAGCTAGCAGGATCTGAAATGTAGTAATCTCCAGATTGCTCCCAGTACAGACATAGGAAGAAAATGCAGATGAATATGTGGTCATAAAAATGGTGCAGCAAGGAGGGGTATGGATTCCTGGGATTACACTTAATTTCAGCTGGGCTGTCTCTAAGGACGATGTCGCTTGTACAAGGTGAACGGTTACGTTTGTACAGAGCTGGGGCTGAATTTCTTGTGGGACCTTTTGCTAGTGCTGTTGGGAGGGCTTTAAAATAACTTGGCAGTGGTGTGGGAACCAACAGAAGATAGTGGAGAAGAATACTAGGGTTCATAAAATACATGGAGATACATTTGACTCTCGGAGAGAGAGCAGCATGTTAATAGATGAAGCTGGAGTGAAGAAGAAAGAAATTAAGTGTAATTATATTATATTAAGGTTATTATATGTGAATACAGAATACAGTCAATAAGGCTGGGGAGTTACAGGTGCAGATTTCCATAGGGACATATGATGTGGGGATAACAGGAACCTGGCTCAAGGAAGGCCAAGACAAGGTATTAAATAGTCTTGGGTACAAGCTGTTCAGAATAAAAATAGGAAAAAAGGAAAGAAGGAGGGGTAGCTGTATTGGTAGAGGAGTAAACTGCAGTGCAAAAGAAAGAAAGCTCAAAGGTTCAAAAACATAATGAATTTAGCGAGAAACAAAAAGGGTACAATTAGATTATTAGGTGTATTCCACAGGCCTCCAACAAGTGGAAAGAGTGTAGAGAAAAACATTGAGTCACAGAACTGTACAACATGGAAACAGACCCTTCAATCCATATTGTCCATGCTGACCAGAAATCCTAAATTAATCTAGTCCCGGTTCCCAGAACTTGGCCCATATCCCTCTAAACCCTTCCTATTCATATACCCATCCAGATGCCTTTTAAATGCTGTAATTGTAACATCCTCCACCACTTCCTCTGCCAGCTCATTCTGTACAAACACCACCCTCTGTGTGAAAACGATTCACTCCAGGTCCCTTTTAAATCATTCCCCTCTCACCTTAAACCTATACCCTCTAGTTTTGGACTCCCTCACCCCAGGGAAAAGACCTTGACAATTCACTCTATCCATGCCTCTGATGATTTTATGAACTTCTATAAGGTCACCCCTCAGCCTCCGATGCTTCAGGGAAAATAGCCCCAGTCTATTCAGCCTCTCCCTATAGCTCAAACACTCCAACCCTGACAACATTCTTGTAAAACTTTTCTGAACTCTTTCAAGTTTCACAACATCCTTCCTATAGCAAGGAGACTAGAATTGCATGCCTAACCAATGTCTTGTACAGCTGCAACATGACCTCCCAACTCCTATACTCAATGCACTGACCAAGAAAGACAAGCCTACCAAATGCCTTCTACCCTATCCTGTCTACCTGGGACTCCACTTTAAGGAACTATGAACCTGCACTCCAAGGTCCCTTTGTTCAGCAACACTACTGAGGACCTTACCATTAAGTGTGTAAGTCCTTCCCTGATTTGCCTTTTCAAAATGCAGCATCTCACATTTATCTAAATTAAACTCCATCTGCCACTCCTCGGCCCATTGGCCCATCTGATCAAGATTCCATTGTACTCTGAAGTAAACTTCTTCACTGTCCATTACACCTCCAATTTTGGTGTCATCTGCAAATTTACTAACTATACCTGCTATGTTTACATCCAAATAATTTACATAAATGATGAAAAGTAGTGGACCCAGCACCGATCCTTGAGGCACACCACTGGTCTCAGGCCTCCAATCTGGAA